TGCTTTGATTATATGTATGCCTGCATCATTTTATCACAACACGCACCAACACAACACACAAACGGCACTGCAGATCATGCGTTACCACAACACAGATTTTTCGCATAAGTTTCTTATTTTACAGGTTTACTTTCCTTTGTTTTTTAACCTTTTTGCAAAAAAACCCTGTTTTAAAATGTACAAGTATTTATTAACTCAATACAATTTTATCTTTTAGATTAGTCTGAATCTTGTAAATTATGATTATTTTTTGTGTGTGTGTGCTCTAATTCTGATTTTAGTGGGTTTTTTTTATTGGTTCAATATTGATTTGATAAACATTTGCGCAATTATCACAGGACCTGAGAAATAAGTAGCACCATCCTTTTTATTCTACCAGTCCTGTGCTTTCATAAAATGCATGGCTTGGGGGTCTTTTACAAACTCTAAAAGCAGCAGTTGAAAATGGGGAAAAAAAAAGTAAAAAAAATTGCAAAAATGGTCTGGCCAGCTGAGGTCAAAAGTGTTAGGCTGGGCACACACCTTACAACCAGCGCAAGAATTTGTCTTGCGATGGTTGTAAGGTACTTTAAAAAACGTACGATCTGCCTATGTACCATAGGCAGATCGTACTTGCGATGATCGCAAGCCACGCCCCCTGAGGGGCGGGCTGCCGATGACCGCAATGCCGAACGGGCAGTGTGCGCTTGCGCACACCGGCCCGTACGGCTGTTATCGTACGGACATGCCACAAACCCGCCGAACATCGTACGATGCTCGGCGGGTTTTCGAACATGTCCGTAAGTTTAAAGTCGTGCGACCTTACAGTAGTAGAGGTCGCACGGCTTCCACACACCTTACTATCATCGTACAATCGCGGGATTTCCCGCGATTATCGTACGATAATCGTAAGGTGTGTGGGGACCCTTAGGCAGGGCTTGGCAGCGTAAGGTTTAAAGGTTGATTTTGGTTTTCTTTTTCAGTGTGTTTAACGATTTTTTTTTGGATGAACCAGTTAATTGAAAAAAATTTTGTATGGAATTCTACTTTAAACAATCAACCTATAATGTTTTAGACATCATAGGTATGGTTAATGTCATCTCCATAGTTGGAGGGCTTTTGTAGCTATTTGGGATAATTTTTTACCAAGTTAAAATTAAAAAAAAAAACTTACACCAGTAACAGAGTGTTTCCAGTTTCTTGTTTCAATGAAAACCCATGTTGAGTACACTGAAAATAAATCAATCATACATTTATAATAAAATGCAAATAATCACATTCCAAATTACAGTTTATGGAAACAAAGGTTTTTATCCACATAAATGAAAACTTGAGTTAGTTATCTAGTAAATCTGTTTCCAGGAATCTTCCAAGACAGCGACTGAGAGGGCTCCGCCAGCCTGCAACAGGAATGACATCATCCACATTAAATAAAATAGGCACTCCTACAATGTCAGGATCCAGAGCACCCCCAGGTGGCGCTGGAGCCGGGTCCTGCAGTTCCTGTGCTCGCCTGCGGGTGTCTCCAGCAGCCAGGAACTGTAAGGAACCTGCAGCTCCGGTACTCACCTGCGGGTGTGCCCCAGCTGTGACTGATCATCCCATCACCTGGTGCTTCCTGGGAGGGTACTTAGGCCCTCCCTTCAGTCAGGAAGCTGGGTCAGTATTGTGTTGCTAAACCTGACTGATGCCCATGTCCTGAACCTTGCTTCCTATCTGAAAACCTGTCACCGACCCGGCTTGTTACCCGACCACTCTCCGTTGAATCCTGTTCCTGTACCGCGCTGCCCTCCTGTTGACGACCCGGCTTGCACCTGACCACTCTTCATCAATCCTGTTCCTGTACCGTGCTGCCCTCCTGTTAACGACTCGGCTTGTACCTGACCACTCTTCTTGTATCCCGAGGCCTGCTGTACATCTGCAGGCCTGTTACCCTTCTTTGTTGGGTTTGTAGTTTTGTTGATGTGGAACCAATAAACTGTGCATATAACCCTATCCTGTGTGGGCATAGTAATTTGGTCATCCTGCGTGGGTACCTGCATGTGGTGCGAGAACGCCTGCGCAGGGTACCCTGACATAAAATCCCACCTCAGTCATTTCAAAGACCGAAGGCCATTACATAAGTAACTTTTCAGAAACCTTCTTTCGTCCTTTAATCCTATGCAACATGACATCTGTCATTACCGTCGCCAATGTCGTCATCAGGGGGGAACCTACTGTCCTGGAAGATTCCTGGAAACAGAGTTACCAAGTAACGAACTCATGTTTTCGCCAGTCATCTTCCAGGACAGCCAATGAGAGTATAAGCGAGAACCATGCTCACCTACTTAGGGTGGGACAACTGCCTGCAGGACCTTCCTGCCAAAGGCTTGATCCTGATGTGCCAGCATATCGACTATGTAATGTCTAAAAAAACGTCTGGAAGCTGGACCAGGTGGCTGCTCAGCAGATCTGATCTTTTGTAGCCCCTGCTCTTTCCGTCCAAGAAGTAGCCCAAGCTCTGGTTGAATGTGCCTTGGAATTTCCAGGTAACATCTTACCCTGGGATTTTCTGGAAGCTGTCTCTGATATTGCGACTCTAATCCACCTAGCTATCGTGCTTTTAGAAGCCCTACTACCTTTCCTTGGACCATTGAATAGGACAGAGAGGTTACCCATCCGTTAGTCTGAGACAGATACTCCAGCATGCACCACCTCACATGGATGCCTTCCATTCTCTTTCCATGTCATTCGTCGGATTAGTTGAGAACGATGGTACGATGACCTCTTGTGTCTTATAAAATGTTTGAGACCACCTTTGGTAAGAAGGCTGGGTCAGGTCTTAGAACAATCTTTCTCTGTCAAGATCGTGGAATAAGGATCTCTAATGGAAAATCCATGTATCTCACTCACTCTCCTGGCAGATACCAAAGCTACCAGAAGCACTGTCTTTAAAGTGAGTGTTCTAATGGAGCAGTCTTTAATCAGTTCAAAAGGTGGCCTGAGGAACCCTTGAAGGACCACCGATTGGTCACAGGTAGGAACGTTTTTAAGGTTTGGGGGTCTTAACCTACAACCTGCCTTCAGGAATCGTTTGATAAGAGGTTCTTCCACTAATCTAACATCACAAAAAATGGACAGCGCTGACACATAAACCTTTAAAGTGCTGCACACAAGATTCTTATCTAATCTATCCTGAAAGAATTCCAACACCTGAGCCACCTTTGCAGCTGTGGCGTTTCCCTGTCTATCCCGCAAGACGGAAAAAAACTTCCACACTTTGTGGTAGATAGCGGACGTGGAAGCCTTCCTGCTGTACAGGAGAGTGGACACCACCCTTTCAGAGAACCCCTTATCGATTAAGATGTCCCTCTCAGAAACCAGGCCGTTAACCACAGAGCCTGCAACTGTGGGTGACGCACAGATGTAATGGAAGTGGTCCCCTGCGTCAATAGGTCTTCCTTCAGCAGAATGGGCAGAGGTATTTTGCTGCTCAGATGCAAAAGGGCCATGAACCAAGGCCTCTTCTGCCAAAACAGGCTATTAGTATCAATGTCGTCTCCTCCCTCTCCAGTTTCCGAATTACTTTTGAGGGGGGAACGTATATACCAACTGGAATTTCCAGGGGTGGGCAAAAGGCATCCAACCCTAGACCCCCCGTCATTTTCTGTGAGGGAAATTTTTTTTCCCCACTTTCTTGTTTGCTGCTGACGCAAAAAGGTCTACCTCTGGCAACCCCCATGTCCTGGCTATACAATGGAAGGTTTGTGTGTCCAAAGACCACTCCATTTTCTGCAATTGCCCCCTGCTGAGGGTATCTGCTAAATAATTTAAGCTTCCCTTAAAGTGAACAGCTGTCAGAGAAAGGAGCTTGCTCTCTGCCCAAGACAAGATGGTTTCTGCTAAGGTCATCAAGGCCTGCAACCTGGTACCTTCTTGTCTGTTTATGTAAGCCACTGCTGTGGTGTTGTCTAACAGTACTAGAAAGTTTTTCCCTCTATTTGCTGTTAAAAATGTAAAAGGGCAAGGCCTACTGCTTTCAACTCCCTCATATTTGAAGACTTGTTTTGCCAAACATGTTCCCACGACCCCTGGCCAATGTGATCCTGAAGGTGGGCTCCCTACCCCCATGCACTGGCATCGGTGGTGATCCCGAGTGGTTCTGGCTGACTCCATAACCTTCCCACCCCAAGATTCTGACTATCCGTTCACCAAAGTAAGGAATGTTTGACAGGGTCAAACCTTGTCTAGGCACTCTGATTCTCCTCCCCACTGACTCAAGAGAAAGTTCTGAAGGGGCCTGGAATGCCACTGTACCCCAAAAAAGGCTGGCATGGCTGACGTCATCAACCCCAGAACCCTCATGATTGACCTGCGGGAAGCTTCCTTCTCTAAACGAAGATTCATTGCCTCCGCATTTAGCAAGGAGATCTTCTCCTGAGGAAGGGATACCAACCTGTTGCTGGTATCTATCCAGTACCCTAAGTACTTTACAGTTGGCGCCGAGACTTTCCAGGTGCTCGATGGTGAGGTCTAATTTCTGCTGCAGGAGGTCCTTTGAAGGGGCAAAAAATAAAAGGTCACCCAAATACGGCACGGCCCACACCCTTCGCGACCCCCGAGGGGCAAGAGCCTTCGCTAGCACTTTGATAAAAATCCTTGGAGAGGACGGCAGACCAAAGGGCAGTGACCTGTACTAAAAATGGAGAACCCCAGCTGGTCCACTGATCGTAAACCATAGCAGCTTCTGGGAGGATCCCTGTATCGGAACATGCAAGTAAGCATCCCTGAGATCCACTGTTGCCAGGAACGCTCCCTAAACACCCAAGGTTCTTCCAGGCCTATTCAGCTGGGAGAGGAAGGAAGGGAGGCCACATGTAAGGGGGAGGGGGGGCTGGGGCCCGGAGGCAGAGCTGGTTGAAATGGTAGCCCCTAACGTAACAGTTACTGTTCCACAGGTACTCATGAGAATGTAGCCATAGGAGTAGGACACACACAGGGGGACTCCATCTGAAGCCAACTCACGGTGCGGAGGATGGTTGCCACCTCGTCAATTATGGAGGGAAACCTTAGACCATAAACTGGTTGGGGGTCCGATTCGGAAGCCCACGGATGCCAGTCTCCAGGATCCACTGTCCCCAAGACCGCATAACATGGGAGGCCCCAGCAACTAGCACGACGGCCTGAAGTAAAACAACAAACGTTATGATACTCCTGTTAGGCCGGAGGAAACACAGTAAAACTGAGGTGGGATTGTAGGAGTGCCTTTTTTTTAATCTAATGTGGATGCATTTCCTGTTTCAGGCGGACGGAGCCTTCTCTCATTGGCTGTCCTGGAAGATGACTGGGGAAAAATTATTTAAACATCAGTACAGTAGAATCAACAATTAAATGTATATGCAGTGGTCATGTGTTATAACCCACCAACCTAAACCAGTATAATCAGAATAGTTGGGAAAACTGAATGGAATGGATAGAGTGTAGTTTCTCTTGTTTTGCACAGTAAGTGAACTGCTAATTTATTTGCCCCTAGTAGAATAACTTAATAAATGAAGGATTTTTATATTTTATGATGCCATATTATATAAACATATGGAGGTCCTGGTTGGAAAAAAAGGAAACATGAACATATTCATAATTATCACTTATTTGACCACATTCACTTTTGTAAACGCATATACATGTATCTTATGATTTTCAATGGATCCATTCACACATTGGGGGGAATTTATCAAAGCAATTGCAACAGTTTTAGCCTCTTAGATAATTTATGTGCAAATCTGTCTTAACATGTGCCCCTGTTTTGACCTGAGCTTGCACTACTTTTCCAACTGCATGCGTTTTGCACCTGTTTTCATCAGAGCTTGCACTACTTTTTCAACTGCATGTTTTTTGCACCCGTTTTGACCAGAGCTTGCACTACTTTTTCAGTTGCATGTTTTTTTGCACCTATTTTCATCTGCACTTGTTCTGGGCTGTCTGAAACTGGAGCATCACCTAAGAAAACAATCACAACTCAAGAAGTCCCCATGACCCAGGGGCGGACTGGGCCGGGGGGCAGGGTAGCAATTGCGTCACTAGCCCCGCTAATAGAATTTTACGGCCGCGGTGCAGTGGCTCCCTCCGCCGCCACTTAGAGTACAGAGCCGCTACAGATGCGGCTCTGTACACGGCGGCCGATCGCTCCTCTAGGCTGACCTCTGGAGGCCCCCGCGGGCAGCCCTCTAAAG